AATGAGGCATAAAAAACTTGAAAAAACAAAACATTGCATGAATCATAATTATTTTATTATATCGTCAAGACAAAAAAAACCCTCACAATAAATCATTTAAAAATGGAGATTTATTAAGAGCATTAGGGACATCATCAGGTTAAATACAGCAGATAAAGTCTGTTAAATACAGATATAAAACATTCAGCTCCGTCCCACAGTAGAAAAACAACTGAGAATAATAACTGATGCACATTATGTTAACACATGTGTGTGTTCAGTGTATAACACACACACACACACACACACACACACACACACTCACACACACACTCCATTCATTCATATCGATTGAGCCAAAAAAACGCACACACAACAAACAAACAAACAAACATAAAACACAACTAATATATTAGCAGAGGATGTGTATAACATGTATAAATGTATATAATGTGTCATAGCGTAGCATGCTGCGGCGCTGTCTGAAGGTGGCTCATGTCATTTATGACCGCATCATTTCCTCTTTGCACTTTTGTAATTGAGATAAAACTGTGGTAAAATATCCAAAAATACAAGCGTTTGTTTTTCTGATTGTCTCCACAGGAAACAGTTCCACTAGAAGGGATACAGCTGTGGCCGTAGGTTGAGGAGAATTATTTATATTGTAAATTACCCATTATTTGTATTGTATTACTATCTACCCTACCCCAACCCTCACAGTAATTTAAAAAAACAGTAATTATACCAGGTATTATTCATATTATTTAGTAAATTATCCATTAAATTGTATTTTATAAATGTCTACCCCTACCCTAAACCCTCAGTAATGTAAAAACAGCAATTATACCCAGTATTATTCATATTATTTATTAAACTACCCATTAAATTGTACTGTATTAATGTCTGTCCATACCCTAAACCCTCACAGTAATGTATAAACAGCAATTACACCCAGAATTATTCATATTGTTTATTAAATCAACCATTAAATTGTATTTTATTGACGTTTCCCCCTACCCCAACCCTCACAGTAATGTTTAAACAGTAACTATACCAAGTATTATTCATATTATTTATTAAATTACCCATTAAATGGTATTTTATTGACGTCTACACATACCCTAAACCCTCATAGTGATGTAAAAATATGAATGATGCAATACTGATGTGAGTATCCACAGCTGTATCTCTTCTAGACTTCACCCTCCATCTCAGGCTGGAGGTCAGAGGTCAGGGAAAGGTCAGACCACTGAGGAGGTGTTGGGCAGCCCCTGTATGCTGGCGGAGGTGGGCGTCCCGCTGATGGCATTGAAGATGTGCAGAGAGTCTGGAAGAGGACCACGTATCCCATCATCCACTGGGGTTATCTAGAGAGAGAGAGAGACAGAGAGAGGGAGAGATACATTACTATGAATGGAGTAAATTGCAAGTCACATTATGACTGCCAAAGCAAAGGAAGTCCCGCCTTCAGGTCATATTAGCTAATCGTCAATCTTTATAGCTTTGGGGGAGGGGTTTGTACAATAAAGAGTGGCTGCATCCTAAATTGCATACTTCCATACTGTATAGCACGCTAAAAACAGTATGTTAGTATGTCAGAATTCATAGGGTGTTCAAAACCGCATACTTCCATACTATATAGTATGCTAAAAATAGTATGTGAGTGAGTAGTGTCTGAATTCATAGGCTACATCTGAAATTGCATACTTCCATATTTTATAGTATGCTAAAAACAGTATGTGAGCAATTAGTATGTCTGAATTTATATGCTGCATCTGAAACACATACTTCCATACTATACACTACGCTAAAACAGTGTGTGAGCAATTAGTATGTCTGAATTCATAGGCTACATCTGAAATTGTATACTTCCACACTATATAGCACGCTAAAAACAGTATGTGAGTGACTAGAATGTCTGAATTCATAGGCTCCATCCGAAATCGCATACTTCAATAATATATAGTACGCTAAAAACAGTATGTGAGCCAGTAGTACGTCTAAATTCATAGGCTGCATCCGAAATTGTATACTTCCATACTATATGATGCTAAAACAGTATGTGAGCAATTAGTATGTCTGAATTCATAGGCTGTGTCTGAAATCGAATACTTCGATACTATATAGTACGCTAAAACAGTCTGTGAGTGAGCAGTATGTCTAAATTAATAGGATGTGTCTAAAATCGCATACCTGCATACTATATAGTATGCTAAAAACAGTAAGTGAGGCATATGGTATGCCCGAATTCATAGGCTGTGTCTGAAACCGCATACTTCCATACTATATAGTACCTTTAAAAACAGTATGTGAGGGAGTAGTAGGTCTGAATTTATAGGCTGTGTCCAAAACTGCATACTTCCATACTATATAGTATGCTAAAAACATGTGAGCAAGTAGAATGTCTGAATTCATAGGCTGTATCCGAAATTGTATAGTTCCATACTATACAGTATGGTAAAAACAGTAGGTGAGCAAGTAGTATATCTTAATTTATAGGCTGCATCCTAAATCACAAACTGCCATACTATAGAGTATGCTATAAACAGTATGTGAGTGAGCAGTATGTCTAAATTCATAAGATGTGTCTAAATCGCATACCTCCATACTATATAGTACAAACAGTATGCGAGACGTATAGTATGTCCGAATTCATAGTACCCAGATGACCTACTACTTCTGGTGAGACTCTGAAGTGTGCATCAGTTGGACGCAGTAAGTGTGTTTCCTACAGGTGGTTTGTCAAGCCCACTCACCTGTGTGAGGCACACTCAGAATCACATAATGTAGACTATAGATACACAAGACTACAGATATACGCATACATGCATACCTGGCGTAAACTGCAATGCTCATGCTGCGTCCCAATTCGCATACTATCCATCCTAAATAGTATTCGAAAATTGAATTAGTGTGTCCCCATGCGTAGTATGTTAAATGAGTATGCCAAAGTTTCCTGTATGATTGACTATTTACATTAGAAATTCAATGTGTAGAAGCGCCCGTACTCTAACCGCTAATATTACCCACAATACATTGCACAAATGAATTTCTGTTTATTTGTGCTTCATCTAAAACTCCAGATCTATAATGCTCTTAGTCTATGCTGACATCATCTTCAGCAGCTCAAACACTCTAATGGCGAATGGACAGACGGCTGCTTCTCACTCAGGGCTGCTGATTATGCTAATGAGAGAGAAATGGGCATGAGTGGGCGGGGCTTTCCCCCTCTGATGACATCATACAAAGGGAGAATGTCAATCACAGTGTTACTGCAGACTGTTTTCATCAAGTCTGATTAGAACAAACACAGTTAATACATGCTGACCATTAGAGGCTGGAGATATTCACACACTGCTGACACACTACTGGGGTTAAACCCATTATAACTTGATTTTTCATAAGAGGTGCCCTTTAATAACCAATTGGAATGGATTTTCAAATGAAAACATGTGGTGAATGTCAGATGTGTGTGTGTAAATGATTTACCCTTCAGTCTGATCATGACAGCACAAGAGGAAAAGAAAACAGTGTGAGATTAATGAAAAGCATCGAGTATGGAGTGATCATCATCATTAATGTTATGTGTCTTACAGGCTCGTGCATGATGGCCGACAGCTCTTTGGTCAGATCTCTGTAGTTGGCCTTCATCTCGTCGTGATATTCCTGCTGATCTTCCTTAATCAGGCGCTCATTAACACCTAAACCGAGACCACAGGCCTCCACAAACTGCCTGAAAAACACCACACAACACACACGAATTCAGTCAAATATCTGTTAAAAGTGTTCCTGTGATGTTATTGTTCTTTTAAACTGTTTATTAAATAGTTCATTTAGACGACTGAAGTGTGTGTGTGTTTGTGTGTGTGTGTATACAGGTTTATGTGGTTTACAAGGACATAAAGTTGTATTATGATATGTGTATGACTTAGTTGCACTCTATTTAGGTGGTTTACTATAATTCAAAGTGCTTAAAATCAGACTTAACGAGGTTAAAACAGTAAATACAGTGTAAATAGTGTTTATGCAGAGGTTTTAAAAGTAAAAACTGCTTATTATAAGGCCTTACACCCATATAATAAGTGGTTTTACTGTATAAGATACATTAGGCCTATGGAGAGTCCCTGCAAAGCATGTATACAAGTGTGTGTGTGTGTGTATACAGGTTTATGTGGTTTACAAGGACACAAAGTTGTATTATGGCATGGGTATGACTTAGTTAGGTTTACTATCATTTAAAACGCTTAAAAATCATACTTAACAAGGTTTATACAGTAAATACAGAGTAAATAAGAGTTCATACAGTAAAAAATGTGCATTACATGGCCCTACATCATATAATAAGTGTTTTTTCCTGTATAAAATATATTTCACCTATGGAGACTCCCTGTAAACCATGTATACAAGTGTTTGTGCGTGTGTGTTTGCATGTATATACAGGTTTATGTGGTTTACAGGGACACAAAGTTATATTTTGACATTGGTATGACTGTAGTTGTACTCTATTAAGCTGGTTTACTATAATCCAAATTGCATAAAATAAAACTTAATGAGGTTTGTACAGTAAATACAGAGTAAATTGAGTTTTTGTACAGTAAAAACTGCTCATTATATGGCCCTGCACCCATATAATGTTGAAGAAAAATCATTTATTTTTATTACTTTTGTGTTTTTTATTTATTCGAAAAATGCTTAGACTAACAACAGATTAATCAATCTTTTGTATTGTATTATAACACATCTTGACCAGACAATCTTGCTCTTTTTTACTGTGCTGCATACTAAAAAACTGCTAAACTAGAGGAAAAAGCAGAATAAGAATACATTTAGGTTTGTTCCAGACTTCTGTCTAGACATGTCACAAGGAGCATGATCTTTGTAGAAGTGTGAAATATATTAAAGATGCATGTAATTGTTCAGTTCTGGTATGCAGAGGAGGTTTGCAGAAAGAGGAAGTATGTCTGGGTGCAACACTAAAAGGACTGCAGAATGACTGATAAGTGACGTTAAACCAAAACTCCACCTGTTAATATCAGTTGTGTGTATATGCTGGAGTCAGGAAATGTAGGTGAGTTGCGAACCTCTTGAATGTAATTCTTGTATTGCATTGGGGTAACGTAACCCAGAGCTCTGTATTCTAACTATTCATTTGTATCTAATAAATTACTAATACTTTTGGCATTGAAGAAAACTCTCTCCAGACCTTTTCTTATTGAACACACATGGAATTGTCTTGATATTCCAACAATAATAAGCGTTTTTTCAGAGTCCCTGTAAACTAAATTAACAAATGTGTGTGTGTGTTTACCGGAAGACTTCTTTCAGCTGTTTGACTTTGTTGTCTGGGTATTTCTTAGTGCTGGCATCATCCAGGAAAGCCCTGGCATAAGCAAGAGGACCAGCATTTACCTGGAGAAAGATTATTATTATTATTATTATTATTATTATTGAAGCATGTTGAACATTCTGATGTCGAGTATTAATGTGTGTGTGTGTGTGTGTGTGTTAGCACCTGGACACTGATGCTGCCCTGTAGTTTGAGCTGTAGTTGGATCATGTCCACGTCGCTGCAGGAACACAGTTGTCGGATCTCCAGAACCTTCCTGCTCATCTCATCGATGGCCACCTCAATGGGGTTTAAATCCACATGGTGCTGATACATCACTGTGATCCGCTTCTTCACATATGGGAAACTGTGTGTGGCTGAGAGGTCGACAGTAAAAGAAACAAACCTGAATATCAAACTCACCAAACACCAATACACAGTTGAAGCCGGAGCGATTCGCCCTGCTGTCAATTTTTTGTTTCTTCCTCAAATATTTCTCAACCGATGTTGAACAGATTCAGGAAATGTTCACAGTATTTCCTCTAATATTTGTTCTTCTGGAGAAAGTCTGATTTAGTTTTATTTTGTAAAGTCATGACAGTTTACATTGTTTATCTCGATATCAACCTATTATCAATGTAAGTTATAAGATTTATCACATGAGGTGGATCATGGCATGCTGTTAAACCTCAGATCAGACTCATCAGGCTGTCTGGAAGTGCAGTGCAGTGTGTGTGTGTGTGTGTGTGTGTGTGTGTGTGTGTGTGTGTAGATAAGGCCTGTACTTTGTGATAGGGAGGATCAAATAAATACAGCAGCTCAGACATCAGATTAAGCTGACACTCAGATTCTTATCACAGCCTCTCTGGAGTGTCAAGTGCTCATCTCTACTGTCCTCTGTCTCTCTGTGTAGTGTGCAGTGTGTATTGCATAGTGTCTAGTATGCAGTGTGCAGTATATGGTGTGTAGTGTACAGTGTGTAATTTGTAGTGAGAAGTGTGTAGGTCAGTGTGCAGCTTGTATTGCATTGTGTCTAGTGTGCAGTATGTAGTGTGTAGTATAAAGTGTGCAATAAGTAGTGTGGAGTGAGTAGGTTAGTGTGCAGCTTGTATTGCATAGTGTCTAGTGTGCAGTATGCAGTGTGTAGTTTAGAGTGTCTACTGTGCAGTTTGCAGTATACGGTGTGTGTAGGTTAGTGTGCTGCTTGTATTGCATGGTGTCTAGTGTGCAGTGTGTAGTATAAAGTGTGCAATGTGTAGTGTGTAGTGTGGAGGTTAGTGTGCAGCTTGTATTGCATAGTGTTTAGTGTGCAGTATGCAGTGTGTAGTACTAAGTTTGTAGTGTGGAGTGTGCAGGCTAGTGTGCAGCTTATTGCATAGTGTTTAGTGTGCAGTATGCAGTGTGTGGTACTAAGTGTGTAGTCTGGAGTGTGTGGGTTAGTGTGCAGCTTGTATTGCATGGTGTCTAGTGTGCAGTGTGTAGTATAAAGTGTGCAATGTGTAGTGTAGAGTGTGGAGGTTAGTGTGCAGCTTGTATTGCATAGAGTCTAGTGTGCAGTATGCAGTGTGTGGTACTAAGTGTGGAGTGTGGAGTGTGTGGGTTAGTGTGCAGCTTGTATTGCATAGTGTCTAGTGTGCAGTATGCAGAATGTAGTATAAAGTGTGCATTGTGTAGTGTGTAGGTTAGTGTGCAGCTTGTATTGCATAGTGTTTAATGTGCAATATGTAGTGTACAGTATATAGTGTACAGTGCAGTGTGCAGCGTAGTGTAGTGTGCAGCATGGAGTGTGTAGTGTAGTGTTCTCACTGGTGAGTATGGTCCTGCGTTTGCACTGCTCCTCCACTCCGCCTTGCTTTTTGCCGGACACAGTGAAGGGCATCTCGAAGACGAATCTGCGAATGTTATGGCTCCTCTCGAAGTCTGTCTTCCTCTCCAGCGTCTCCTTCTCCTCCAGGAACGGCGTCACGTGGGTCACTTGGATGTAGGCAAACTTAGAGTCCAGATCCTTCGGGTTAATCTGCACCAAACACACATTCAGCCTTAGCTAGAGGCAGGTAGCTGTCTTACTAGTAAGCTAGACTGATTAACATTGGTTAGAAATGTGCCTCTGCATTTCAAGCCATACAGAAAAAAAACTATCTGGATTTTGTTTTCCAAATGTGTAGTTCTTGGTCAGGAAAATCCTGCAGTGTGGATCAGCCCTTATCCTGACGTTCAGTGTGTTTATACCAGACTGTAAGTGAAGGGTTTGGTTGCGAAACGCTTGGATTTTATTATTGGAATCCCTGTTCAGATGCACCTTAATCTATGTGTGAATTGCTGCCATTAATAACATTTAAGAATGTACATTTTAGGCCGAGTACAAAATGTATTTTTCCACAAAACACGATATCCGCCAGACCAGTTTCTTTACACGCTGCGATATAACTGTTATGAACGTTCAGGATGCTGCGCGAGCTCAGCCTCCCCTGGGAAGAGAGTCGCTGTCAGTAAAGTGCTCCGAGTTTGCTCATAATGAGAGTAATGTTGGTCTGTGTCATGCCGACAAACTATTAGATGAAGATGTAGCCTTCAACTTCACAAACATGTAAAAAACGTTACAAAAGTGTGAGTCTCCGCTGATGTCAAGAAGAAGGCCAGGGGTTACAGTAAAATACTGCCTTATTTCCTGCGCTGCTCCCCATCACAAGACACCTGTCTGCAAGTCTGCATTTCTAAGTGTCCTTTGTAAGTTTATTGTGTAAATAATTTCTGTGAATACCGAATGAGAGGATGATCACTTGCGCCAAAAGCTCCCTTTTTCTTGCGTGAAATTGTGAAGGTAAATGCAACTATAGCCACAGTGGCTGGTCAGGCCCTGATGATAATGATTATTACTACTATTTTTATTATTATTATTATAATTATTATTATTATTACAGTGAAATAATTCATTAAATATGACGATTCTAGGTGAGCTTGTGTCGCGGACTCTGTGCAACAGAGAACTGTGACACCGCGGCTCCGCCCACTCTGATCATACAGGTTTGGTTTTCAGCAGCGGGGTGGAAGGAGCACCCACTCATTCTGTAACAAGCTACAAGTTGTTAATCTAACTAACTTAATCTTACTTACTAAACAAAACATTAATTCACTCGCTTTTCTTAATGGTATTACTGTAGTAGAATATAGCCTAAGGTGGATATATAGCGTTTTGCAAAAAAAAAAAAATAATAATAATAAAAATTATGTTATGTTATGCACGTTCTGGCCAAATCTAACTCAGAATCTTATTATTATTAATCAGTCTTTGTATATACTATACTATATATTTATAATGTATTATTTTTTTAACCAATTTAAGATGTTTGACAATGTTAAGATAAATATGGTTTGGTTTTTGACTTATTTATGAGCTATTTATGGACAGAAAGTTAAATAAAAATATCCTGGATTTGAAAATATTGTCTTCCTGAGCTCAAGTATTAGTTTAATGTACAAAAATAGTGAATAAACTTGACTGTTGATGTCTTAAATAATAATGTCAAATAACCAACATTTCTCACAATAGATGCATCTCGTTTTGCACTGAAACTCTTCAAGTGCACATACGCCTCACCTTGCCCGAATCCTGGATCATTTTAACATTCTCCGCTCCAAACTTGTCTGAGTAGAGTTTCAGGAGTCTCTGTGAGATCTCGGACAGCGGCGTGAATTTGGGCTCCTTATAAATATACTCTTTCCCGTCTTCATCCTCGAAGAAGCCCTAAAACAACCAGCAGATCTGAATTAGGCAGAGGGAAACACTGAAACCCGCGCTCTAGACTGAGGTTGAAGCTACTGCATACTACACACACTCACACACACACACGGCTATTTATCCAGTAGTGTGTTAATACTAGAATGATGGCAAATCCTGATGACTGGCACACTTTACCTCATGCATCTGAGAGTCATTACACTGGTACTGCTAGAGACACAAACCAGAGGCTTCATCAGTCACACAAACACAGCTCAGATCACTCAATAGCTGCGTCCCAAATTGCAGACATATGCACTAGTCTACTGGATAAGCATGTAAGCAGTGCATTCACACTGACTAAAAGGAATTAATTATAAATACAGGATATTGTGCTGATTCAGCCAATTAGAAAGTGTGTAATTTAAAGCTTTCAGGCACTCAACGCTCAGTTTTTCTCATGTAGTGGAAGAGGAGGGGCTACTAAGAAAGGGGAGGGGTTACTGATAAAGGGAAGGGGCTACCGAGGAAGGGGGTGAGCTGTTGGTAAAGTGGGAGGAGCTAATGGTCAAAGGAAGCGGACAATGATGAAGGGGAGGGGCTGATGGTAAAGGGGAGGAGCTACTGATGAAAGGGAGGGGCTTATGATGAAGGGGAGGAGCTGATGGTAAAAAGGTGGAGCTTCTGATGAAAGGGATGGGCTTATGATGAAGGGGAGAGGCTGATGGTAAAGCGAATGATATGATGGTGAAGGGGAGGGGCTGATGATGAAGGGGAGGAGCTGATGGTAAAAAGGAGGAGCTTCTGATGAAGGGGAGTGGCTTATGATAAAGGGGAGGGGCTGATGGTTAAGGGGAGGAGTTAATGATGAAAGGGAGGGGCTTACGATGAAGGGGAGAGGCTGATGGTAAAGCGAATGATATGATGGTGAAGGGGAGGGGCTGATGATGAAGGGGAGGAGCTGATGGTAAAAAGGAGGAGCTTCTGATGAAGGGGAGTGGCTTATGATAAAGGGGAGGGGCTGATGGTTAAGTGGAGGAGTTGATGATTAAGGGGAGGGGCTGATGATGAAGGGGAGGAGCTGATGGTAAAAAAAAGGAGCTTCTGATGAAGGGAAGTGGCTTATGATGAAGGGGAGGGGCTGATGGTAAAGGGGAGGAGTTAATGATGAAAGGGAGGGGCTTACGATGAAGGGGAGAGGCTGATGGTAAATCGAATGATATGATGGTGAAGGAGAGAGGCTGATGATGAAGGGGAGGAGCTGATGGTAAAAAGGAGGAGCTTCTGATGAAGGGGAGTGGCTTATGATAAAGGGGAGGGGCTGATGATGAAGGGGAGGAGATGATGATGATGGGGGAGGGCTGATGGTGAAGAGAAGGGACGATGATGACGGAGAGAGGGGGATGGTAAAGGGGAGGATCTTCTGGTGAAGGGGAGGAGCTGGTGGTAAAGGGGAGGAGCTTCCGTTGAAGGGGAGGATCTGATGGTAAAAAGGAGGAGCTTCTGATGAAGGGGAGGAGCTGATGGTAAAGAGGAAGAGCTACTGATGAATGGGAGGGGATTATGATGAAACTGAGAGGCTTATGGTAAAGGGAAAGAGATGATGGTGAAGAGGAGGGGCTGATGATGAAGGGGAGGAGACGATGATGAAGGGGAGGAGCTGGTGGTAAAAGGGAGAAGCTTCTGATGTATGGGGAGGATATGATGGTAAAGAGGAGGAGCTATTGATGAATGGGAGGGGATTATGAAGGGAAGGGGCTGATGGTAAAGAGGAGGAGCTACTGATGAATAGGAGGTGATTATGATAAAAGGGAGAGGCTAATATTAAAGAGGAAAAGATGATACTGAAGGAGAGGAGCTGATGATAAAGTGGAGGAGATGATGATGAACGGGAGGAGCTGATGGTAAAAGGAGAGGGCTGATAATGAAGGGGAGGAGACGATGAAGGGGAGGATCTGATAGTAAAGAGGAGAATCTTCTGATGAAGGACAGGATCTGATAGTAAAGAGGAGAATCTTCTGATGAAGGACAGGATCTGATAGTAAAGAGGAGAATCTTCTGATGAAGGACAGGATCTGATAGTAAAGAGGAGAATCTTCTGATGAAGGGGAGGAACTGATGGTGTCATTTGGGACGTAACTAATGAGCAAATCTATCTCATCACTTCTAAACCACTTTTAGTGCAGTTAATCACCTCATTTTAGTAATCATTTACATATTTTCTGTCATTGGTTAATGAGAAGGGGGCGTGGCTTATTCTTAAGCTCTACTTCTCATTTTTGACGAATAGCAAACAAATAATTAGAGGGGCGTGGCTAATCATATTTCCCCCAATCAGTCGAGCTGATGTCATCAGAGAAAGAAAAGGCGCTGCTCCATATTGGAAGCAGATGGTCAGACTTTGATTGAAGATTACCAAAACAAACTGTGTTTTACAGTGGATTATCTTGTTGTTCACCTTAAGATTAGCAATGTGCATTAGCAAAATAAACATTGACATTTTCATTTCCTGCTGACTTTAAGTGCACTTTTCCCACAAGGATTATATATTCATACATTTTAAATATGAACATACAAACTTGACATTAATCAAAAATGTTAATTAGCATGTTATGTGTTACCCAGCAAACACACACATCAGCACAGATGATCACTTCTATTAGGACTGTCTGAGTCTGGATAATATATGTAACAAATAGTCTATTGTTCCATATTATGGGGTAAGGTAAGCAAAATAATCTAATTTCAAAGCGAAAATAACATTATTTTTTACCATATTGGCAGATTATTTTGCTTGTTTTAAAAAATAAACTCACTTAAATAAAGATAATAGTGATAATTTTTATGTTTCCAGAAAATGCTTATTGATTTCAGAATTTTTAGATATTTGTATTAGAAACAAGAATAAAAAAGTAATTTTTTTGCAATACATAGATGAATTAATATGCTCAAAGCTCAACAAAACACCAGCTCAGATGTCCAGCAGACCATGTTAGCAAGCTGAAGTCAAACACGCTGGACTTACCGCGGCCTTCAGAGTGTAAAGTAGCAGAAACAGCATTGATATGAACAGACAGAGATAATGAAGTCACTAATGGAGATCTTATGAAAATATATATTTATATGATCTAGTTTCACAATAACAGTGATGTATATATATATATATATATATAAAACTATCCTTCCCATTTGAATAACTTGTTTAGCCACCTCTAATTTAACACTGCCCCTCCTAAAACAAATAATAGACAGGATGACACAATACAAATGAGACTTTAAGAGACTCTTGCAGACTTGAGTGGACCTCTTGAAGGTGACTGTTTGACTGCAGAACAACAAACATGTTCACAATGAACTCTGCTTAAAAGATTCTGTTACCTTGGGTTCTGAAATTTACTACAATTTGGTGCCGTGACCCCAACAAAGACAGAAATCACAAATTCCCTACAGTTTTTGGTGCCGTGACCCGGATAGAGACTGAAATCACAAATTCCCTACAGTTTTGGTGCCGTGACCCAGACAGGGACTAAAAATCACAAATTGCCTACAGTTTTGGTGCCATGACCCGGACAGGGACTAAAAATCTCAAATTCCCAACAGTTTTGGCATTGTGACCCGGATAGAGACTAAAATCACAAATTCCCTGCAGTTTTGGTGCCGTGACCCGGACAGGGACTAAAAATCACAAATTCCCTACAGCACTGGTGCCGTGACCCAGATAGAGACTGAAATCTATCTGAAATCTAACCTAACCCTAACCTTAACCTAATTCTCTACAGTTTTGGTGCCATGACCCGGATAGAGACCAAGATCACGATTTACAACACTTTGGTACTATGAATCAGATAGAGACTAAAATCACAAACTTCTCAAAATCTGATGAACAGACCACTTAAAAATGAAGACTCTGACTCACCTGTCCAAAGAAAGCCACTCTGAAATACGTGCCCAGCAGTCGCTTCCCCGTGTGCATGACTTCTGTCACCTTACTGTAGGCTCTGTGTAGCGTGTCGTACAGATGAGCCAGTCTCTGCACACACAAGTTCAAGTTAAGCTTTATTGTGTTTCCGCTACATGTGTGGACATACAGAGGAATGAAGATGTCATGATGGTAACTAATGGTCACTCTGACGACACATACACAGGGTTTTACACTGTATTATCAAGTGTAATTAAAAAAAAAATACAATTGATTAGTCTTTCCCATTAACAGCTATCTATATTCACACAACTGTGTTTAAACCCCTTATGAAAGTGATATTTGCATAACAGGTTGCCTTTAAGTGACATTTCTAAGCTAATTTTAAGCGGATGCTCATTGTAAAGGTGCACATCTGCAGCTCAACAGTGGAAAAAAGAACATGTGTGTGTGTGTGTGTGTGTGTGTGTGTGTGTGTGTGCGTGTGTTTTTATTACTGTACCTCAAAGTCTCTGCGCTTCTCATAAATGGGAATGATGAGTTTATAGATATCGGAGATGAGTTCATAACGCTCCGCTTTCCATAATCCATCTGCACATTCCTCCAGAAGCTCCATCAGCACATCCTATCACACACACACACACACTTCACAGCATTTACAGTGAATCCAGGAATTACTTCTGTGTTTAAGTATTTGCATTTGGCATTAGACACAAATTAAATGCACAATGATGAGCTTTTGTCTTGAGCACTGTCACCGGGACGCTTAACTTTATATCACAATATAGTTTGCAATTAAATCCCAATCTATCCATGACAGACTATACATCATTAGAAAGACCTATAGCCAGGACATAGTGAAGGGGGCGACACACAGGATGTGCCATGCCACGCATTTTAGAATTGTAAGCATCGGTTTACATCAGCAGTCTGTGGCGCTCAGCTATGATTCATGACACTCATGATATTTCTGCTGCGCCACAGAGCGCCATCTGAATAATTATCTATTAAATAACATGCGAATGTGCACGTCCGGTGTG